TCTCCTGCACCTGTGCTCTCTCTCCTGCACCTGTGCTCTCCCTCCTGCACCTGTGCTCTCTCTCCTGCACCTGTGCTCTCTCTCCTGCACCTGTGCTCTTCCTTCTGCACCTGTGCTCTCCCCTGCACCTGTGCTCTCCCCTGCACCTGTGCTCTCACCTGCATCTCTGCAGCCAGCTTCTGGATCTCCAGGCCCAGCTTCTGCTCCACCTCCAGGGTTAGGGTTGCCTCTGAGGCCAGGCTGGACAGCTCCTCCACTGCATGCAGTAGAGGCTTTAGGTGGAAACAGAGAGTGAGGGCTCAGTTCAGGCCAGGCTGCTCCCTTCCCTGCTCCCAGGCCACTCACAGGCAAATCCCTTTGGGTCAGGAGCAGGAAGGAACTGGGGGTCCATGCTGCCAGGTACTGCTGAGCTCTGCTCAAGAACCAGAGCAAGGTGGTCTGCAGGGTACAGAGCCCCAGAGCAACAGGCGCAGGACCTGGAGGGAAAGAGCAGAGAGTATCCTAGTGTCCATAGGCTACCTTCAGGAGAAAGCCAGCTGCAGAACAGAGGGAAGGAAAGAGATATCAACTGCTCTACCTGGTACCCCCTTCCACACCCTTCTTACTTGGAGGCAGACACAGGTGAAGTTCTGACCTCGGCTCTCGAAGGGCGTCCAAAAGTGGAGGGAAAAGCCGCTGCAACAGCTCGGCAGTAGGAGATAGTAGAGCAGGGCTGCTCTGACCCGTCAGGGACGACCCCAAGGCCTGGCAGAACCCTGGAAGGACAGAGTATAGTCTGAAGGGGGAGCAAGCTGACCCTTGGCCACCCCCCATGTCCCTTTCTCCTTACCTTGGTCCCAGCTCCAGGTAAGAGACTGATGAAGTAGGATGTCACACCAAGACAGCAGCTCCTTCTCACACTCCTGAGGCAGGGATGCTAATGGGAGAAACAATGGGAGCCTGAGAACAAAACCTCCCTGTTTACAGCCCCTGCCTACTCCTGATGTGTCCTCCACCACTCAGTCAGGAGTGGAAAGTCAGGCGCCGTGTCTCTCAGCCTGTGGGAAGCTGAGGCAGGAGTTCGAGGCCATTATGGACTACGTAGTAAAAACCTACCTCTAAACAAAACAAAGATGGGGGGGGGGGAAGCAAGGTGGCCTCGGAAACCGTAACCTATGAACTCAGGAAAGTTCATTCTAAAGGACCTGCGCTTTCTGACAGGCTAAAGGTGAGCGAGCCGACTAGGATAAAAGGAGAGAGATACCCTCACCACAACCCCCAAATGCCAGCTTGGGTTCCTCACTCACCTTGACACAATGCCTGACGCAACTGTCGTGCCACTGCTCTGGGGTCCCCCCAGGGTCCCACGCTTAGGTCCAGACTCTGAGCACAGGCTGCCCACAGCAAGGTCCAGTACTGGCTCCACAGGGCTCCAGGCCCTCCAAGCCTCAGTCCACCGCTGTCGGTGCTAGCCACACCCCCTATTAGACCCAGCAGCCCTGGCAGCAGCTCTCGCTCTTCGTCGCACTGCCGACGGAGTTGGTCTTGCAAGCCCGATCCGCCAAGGGCCTCGGCCAGCCTATGTGCCACCTGACAACCCCGCTCTGCAGCCAGGAGGTGGAGCACACGGGCCGCGGGGAACGGGCGCGCCGCCCCAGGGACGCAGCTCACGGCTTGTCCCTGTAGCTTGTGGTAGAAGGGAAGGACCAGCAACAGTTCCGCTAGCTGGGACGTCAGGCCCAGGCTGGCGGGTGCCCGGCCTAGGGCGCGAAGCTGCATCTCGATGGCAGCATCCAGACGCTGGGCTGCTAGCCCGACGGGGCGAGCCAGTAGAAGCGTCTCCGTGGGGTCCCGGCGGCCGAGGCGCAGAGCCGACCCACGCGAAGGGCACAGCTGCAGGTCGCGATGCAGCTGCTGCTGGGAGAGGGCGCCGGCCGACGAGCTGGAGCGGAGCAGCCTCACGACCGCCTGCAGGTGGCGGGCAAAGTCCCGGGCCCGCAGAAGCTGCTCCCGCTCGCGGTGCAGACGGAGCAATGCGGTCCGGAGCCGCTGCAGAGCGAAGGGCATCGGGCCGCTCGCCGATGCGGGCTCCCACGGTTGTCTGTCGGAGTCCGGGCGCGGGACGCTCTCCGCAGCCCGCAGCCCCGGCCCTCCGCGACTCCCCTCGCCCCGCTCATTCCCAGCACCCACGGGATGCGCCCACGACGGGGGTACGTTAGAGAGGGGAGGCAGAAAGCCACCGGAGCGGGGCGCCCGGGCCATGGCACGGCGAGTCCCAAACGAACCTAACGCCCGCCACCTCCCCACATCCCGCGGCACTCCACACCCGCGGGCGCCTCGACTCACCAGCTTGCAGCCGGAAGTTTCGTGGCTTCACTCGCTCTCCGTAGCCGCGGCGTCTGCCCCTAACAAAGATGGCCGTCTGCTCATTCTTTCCCGGCCTTTAGCGGGAACCAAATTCTAACCGGACTTTCACTTTCCTGCCACCGTTGACGGGAGGTGGCGCTGATGCCAAATGTTGTAGGGCGAGTCAAGTTAGGTGAGTGGTTTGACCAGACCTTAGGAAGCTCAGGAAGAGAGGCCCCTTCAATCTACCAGGGTTTGGACATTTTCAGTAGAATTTTAGGCTTCAGGTGGAGGGTCCTGGCGTCTCCATCTCGGGCTCCCTGACGTCACCTTCCTTCCCTGAGGTCTGGTTGACATCTGGGGCCCCTGTGGGTCCCGATTTAGCAAGGAGTTTCGGTACCACAGAAAAGAGGAAAGCGAGACCCTGGCTTCCTTTTGCCCTGATCATCGTCTTCATGATTGTTGGTGGGTTTGTGGTTGTTTTGTTATGTTCTCTTCTCTTTGCGTCTCACTTTGTATGTTCCTGGCTAACCTGGAACTCGCCATGTAGACCAGGCTGATCTCGAACTCACAGTTGTCCGCCTGCCTCTGCCTCCTCTGCTGAAGTTAAGAGTGTGTTTGTGTCATCACGGCCAGACTCCGGCAAGATGTTGTTTTGAGTTAGCGGCGGGCTTTGGGAACCAGTAGGTTCGGGCCCTACTCATAAAGGACAGCAAGGGACCCTCAGGCTGCTGCGGATACAATGCTCAAAGCAGGCAAAACTGAGCATTTGAGGGTCTCATGGTTGAGGACTCAGCAGTGGTTTGGAAAGATACTGCGAACACAGGACGTTTTGAGCAAAAACGCTGAAGCAAGGAAAAGAGAGTTCACTACAGCCCAGCACTCAGGAGGCTGAAACAGGATTGTCATGAGGCCTACATAGTTTCAGGCTAGCTTGGGCTACAGTGTGAGACCAGTCTCTGACAGTGGCTTGAAAGGCCACAAGGGTTTAGATTTCCTGAAGTATATGGTACAGTTGCTGAGGGAGAGACAAAAGCATCAGATATAGGGGCACTGGCTGGCTAAATTACCAGGTGCCTTCCTGATCATTTCCTGATTTATTTCTAGAAACTCAGTTAACAAGTCCTCAGGCGAAGGATACAGGTCACATAGAGAATTGGACCCAGCCTCAGATTCATGAGCGCCCACCCACAAAGTCAACAAGTCTAAAAATTAATTAATTAGTTGAAGTTGAAGAGATGCCTCCACTCAGGCAGAGGACCCCAGTTCAATTCCCAGCACCCACATCAAATGGCCTGAAACAGCCTGCAACTCCAGTTTCCGGGGGATCTGATGTGTCTGGTCTCTGAAGGCACCTGCACACCTGCACATGCCACCCCCCAGATACATATAAAAAATAAAATCTTGAAAAGTTAGTTACCATTTATTTGGTTGTTTTTTTGGTTCATAACACAAACCTGTTTGCTTAGTAAAAAAAATCTTGAGACTCCTTTTATAATCCTCCTTTATCTCAAACATTCACTAGAATAGTGTTTGTTTGTTTGTTTGTTTGTCTGTTTTTGAGAGGGCTGGTGAGATGACTCAGCCAATAAGGGCACTTGCTTCCAAGACTGACAACCTAAGTTTGATCCCTGGAAC